CTTATGTCTGGATTGCAAAGATGAATTTTGTTGATACTGATTTCATTTGCTTGGTAACAGCCCAAATGTCTTATTCTTATTTACTGATTAAATGTAAGAATTTGACTCAAAAGATGATGCACACTTATAGAAAAATGGCTTTATAAAGGTAAAATGCCCATAAAAGGTAAAAATCAATTTAAACTTATTGGAAAAGATTAATTTCTTTCAAAAATTAATTTCTTTTCTAATCAAAAACTTTAAGAGTCAGCTGTCCACGAAAGTCCTTAAGATAAAAGCATGATAACACACTCAATCAGTTGAATGAATGACTCAATGACTCACTCATTAAGTGACTTACCGCCACTTACTGGTAGTTTAGTTGAGAAGTATGTTGAAAAGTATGCATTTTTCCCCTCAACATTTCTTATTTGTATACTCATAAATGCATTTAAAACATTAATCTCATAACATTATTTATTGCAGTTGTAATTATTGTTATTTGCAGTGTAAATTATTTAATCTTACTGGTAGCAGCCCTGTAGTGTATATTTAATTTATTGATAAAATGTAATCATTTGATATGTAAGATGATGCATACATCTAAAAAGGTTAAAAATAGGCCTTTGTAAAGGTAAATATGCAGATTTAAGTATGAAAAAGCTGATAGAACACTGATGAAAATATTGCTTAAGAATAAATTGTTTACTCCACCAAAAATCTCAGTGATGCACCAAACATCTCAGTGATGCAGTTATTTTGCAGGGATATTTTGTATGGAATATTGTCTGCTGACATGAAAAGTTCACTGTATATCGTAGTAATGTCATTTATTACAGCAATGACATTTTGTTTTCTTTTTAATTTATACACATTAAATATTACATATATGTATGTAATAAAATGTGTATTTCCATTACAGGTTTAGGTCTTAAATTCCATATAAGGTGGTATTAAAAAGGTCTTTAACTTGTTTAAATTTAACTTGTTCATGTCTGCAGAAACCCTGTTTATGCAAAAAGCCATATTAAGCAGTGTAATCTAAAATCGTAAACAAACCCCTTAAGATCATACTACCCCTCTCTGCTTCTCTTACATTTTAAATTGTTGTTTTTCAGATACTGTACAAAATGTATATTATATAACTGTGTGATATGTTGTCTTTTGTAGTTATGGGAGCTCTTTTATAAGTTGAAGTTTGTATATACCTACATCGCACCGTGGCAGATTACCTGGGGCTCTGCCTTCCATGCCTTTGCCCAGCCGTTTGCAGTGCCACGTATCCTAAACACACATCGTGTTCCAGATTTAACATATTTCATAGGCTTTGTCAAATTCGGGTGTCTTTGTGATTCTCTCTGTTCTTCCTTGACTCCGCCCCCTCCAGACTCTGCCATGTTGTTTGTACAGGCCATTGTGTCTGCTGTGTTCTCCACTCCATTAAACCCTTTTCTTGGCAGTGCCATTTTCATCAGTTCCTACGTACGACCTGTGCGCTTCTGGGAGAGAGAATACAAGTAAGACGCTCTTGAATATCAGTATCTCCAATTTCCTTTGGCCTTTTTTAGCGCAGCCCACAAAACATTTATGAGATTGTTAATTTAATTTTTGTGTTTCAGTACTAAGTGGGTCGATCACTCCAACACTAGACTTGCTTCGCAGCTTGACAGAAACCCAGGTACGACTAGATACATTATCTGTTGTAAATGAAAAATCATTTGTCATTTGCCCATGGTGGACTAGTTTTGTTTTACAGACATCTCATCTCTCATGTTGTCAGGTTCAGATGATAATAACCTGAACTCCATCTTCTATGAGCATTTGACGCGGTCCCTGCAGCATTCTCTGTGTGGAGACCTGCAGCTGGGCCGCTGGGGAAACTACAGCACCGGAGACTGCTTCATCCTGGCATCTGATTACCTCAACGCTCTCGTTCACCTTGTTGAGATCGGCAATGGCCTCATCACTTTCCAGCTCAGAGGACTTGAGTTTAGAGGTGAGGAGAGGAAGAGAAAAAGAAACAAACAATAAATCAAATAGTTACACTATACCATTCAAAAGTCTGGTGTCAGTACGATTTTTATGAAAGAAATGAATACTTTTATTCAGCATAGATGCATTAAATTGATCAAAAATGAAAGTAAAGATATTTGTTGCAAAAGCTTAATGTTACTATTTCAAACAAATTCTGTTCTATTCATGTGAACTTTCTATTCATTAAAAAATCCTGAAAAAATGTATCACAATTTCCACAATGTTATGTTTCTTGAGCATGAAATTGACATATTAGAATGATTTGTGAAGGATCATGTGACACTGCAAACTGAAGTAATGGCTGCTGAAAATCCAGATTTGCCATCACAGGAATAAATCACATTTTTTTTAAATATTTTCAAATAGAAGACAATCGTTTTAAAATGTAAACATATTTTACAGAATTACTGTTTTTACTGTATATTGGTCAAAAAATGGTGACCAAAAACATTTTCAAAAACATGAAAATGGATTACAGACCCCAAACTTTTGAACATCAGTGTAAATTCTGACCGTTATAGTTCTTGAAAATGTAACATTATGGAAAAACTGGATTTTGCGTGCTCTTTTTAAATATAATGGCTCACTGTACTCTAAATGTATAAATTAAAGCTTTCTCCCCAGTCCACCAAAACCGTTTGTAGAAATTAAGCCTCAAAAACAGGTCATTCAGAAATCAATTAGTAACATTAGTAAGATTTACAATGCCTGTTTAGTATTCAGCAACTAGGTGGGGGTATTGATCTCTAATCAATAATAGAGATCATTTACATATCTTCAATGCAGTGTAGCTAAGACAGCCCTTTGTATTTCCAGGGATCATATAACATTTTAAATGAGTTATTACTGAGTTATATACGAGTCTAGTTAAAATGTTCTGTCTCATTTCTTTCTTCTCTCTATCTCAGGGACGTATTGCCAGCAGAGGGAGGTGGAGGCGATAACAGAGGGAGTTGAAGAAGATGAAAGCTGTTGTTGCTGTGAGCCTGGTCATCTCCCCCATCTGCTGTCCTTTAATTCTGCATTCGGGCAGCGCTGGTTGGCCTGGGAGGTTCTGGTCACTAAATACGCCCTGGAGGGCTACAGCATCACTGATAACAGTGCCGCATCTATGCTGCAGGTGTTTGATCTGCGGCGAATCCTCACCACCTACTACGTTAAGGTCAGCAGACAAATTTTCCAATCCTGTTCCAAACTGCTATTTTGATAACTGGCTAGGTGAGATTAAAAAATAAAAAATAATAATAATAATGTCCTGAAATTTTTAAAAATAATTTATTTATTATTTCTGTGTTTATATGTTTGTAGGGCATCATTTACTATGTCATTGCATCTCCTAAACTGGAGGAGTGGCTGGAGAACGAAGCCCTTCTTGAGGGCTTGAAGAGCTGCGGAGAGCGAAACTATGTTGACCTAGATCCGACTTTTAACCCCAATATTGATGAAGACTATGACCACAGACTGGCTGGAATCTCCAGAGACAGTTTCTGCTCTGTCTACCTCAGCTGGATCCAGTACTGCAACTCACAGAGAGAGAAGGTAAATGCGTGCTCATTTTTTTTAAATGTTTTTTAACAAAATAAGTTTTTTATACTCCCCAAAACTGCATTTATGTGATAAAAAAGTACAATACAAACAGTAATACTGTAAAATATTATTGCAATGTAAAGTATGTTTTCTATTTTAATATAAATAATGTTATTTATTCCTGTGATGCAAAGCTGAATTTTCAGCATCATTACTCCAGTCTTCAGTGTCACATGATCCTTCAGAACTCATTCTAATATGCTGATTTGGAGCTCAAGAAACATTTAATTTGTGCTGCTTAATATTTTTTGTGATACGTTTTAAGGATTTTTAGGATTTATTTATCATTAGAAAGTTTGAAAGAACAGCATTTAATTGTCTTAGTAGTAGTAGTAGTAGTAGTAGTTTAAAAAAAATGTCACTCGTCATTTAATGCATATTGTTGTATTAATTTCTCTTAGAAGCTGTAGTGTTTGTAAAAAAAACGTTTTACCTTCCTGCCATCTCTTTGTTTATTTCTTTCAGCCACTGGACAGTGAGAAAGACTCTGCGTTGGTTTTGCTGTGTTACGGTCTGTGTGTTTTGGGAAGAAGAGCTCTGGGAACTGCATCTCACCATATGTCCAGGTGGGGGAGCAAAATCCTTTACTCTGCTGGAGTTTTTCCATGAAGCTTGTTATGAAGACATTTTTTGCGGTTTGTTTGTTCTGATGGTGTGTGTTTGTGTTACAGTAATCTGGAGTCTTTCCTGTATGGGCTGCATGCCTTGTTTAAGGGAGATTTCCGGATCTCATCTGTAAGAGACGAATGGATCTTTACTGACATGGAACTGCTGAGGAAGGTTGTTGTCCCTGGAATTCGCATGTCTCTTAAACTGCACCAGGTGAGACACATTTGTGTGCGAGACTTAATGTCATCTGTTCTCTGTCACATCAAATGTGACTTTTATTATTTTATGCTTTTTGGGTATATTTTAACCACATTTAAACTCTCTCTGCAGGATCACTTCACCTCCCCTGATGAGTATGAGGAATCATCGGTGTTGTTTGAGGCGATTTCTTCACACGAACAGACACTGGTGATAGCTCACGAGGGCGACCCAGCCTGGCGCAGCGCTGTCCTGTCCAACTCTCCCTCTCTGCTCGCCCTCAGACACGTGTTGGACGAAGGGACCAATGAATACAAGATCATCATGCTTAACAGACGCTACCTCAGCTTCAGGGTCATAAAGGTGAGCGAGGACAAAAAGACGGGATCAAATGGAAGAAAGCAGACTGACAGGGTAAAGAACTTATTTTATTAGCATATAAATTATTTTTCATGTGTGCATGTTCTTAGGTGAATAAGGAGTGTGTGCGCGGCCTGTGGGCGGGACAGCAACAGGAATTGGTGTTTTTGCGGAACCGAAACCCGGAGCGTGGAAGTATCCAGAATGCCAAGCAAGCACTACGCAATATGATCAACTCTTCATGCGACCAGCCAATCGGATATCCCATCTATGTCTCGCCTCTGACAACATCTTACTGTAATACACACCCCCAGCTGGGACACATACTGGGAGGACCAATCAGCATCGCCAACATACGAAACTTTATCGTCAACACGTGGCACAGGTGTGTGTGTGTGTGTGGTTGAATGAACGAGAATGGACATGTTATGATTGTCATACTAACACTGCTTATCTCTCTCACTGCAGACTGCGTAAGGGTTGTGGCGCTGGCTGTAACAGTGGCGGGAATGTTGAAGATTGTGATGCGGGTGGCTTGTCGTGTGGCAGTGGGAATTCTGGGACAGCAGCGAGTGATTCCCAGCACAGCTCAGGACCCACAGTGCTGCACTCTTACACACCTCATTCTCTGGGTAAACACACCGTTAGTGCTAAGACATCACTTACTGGTTGAACACATGTTTACTGTGTAATTTGCATATAAATATGATGTATTTTGTATTGTAATGAGGTCTTACCTGGTTAATATTTGCAGATACTTTATCAGAGTTTTTAGGGTTAACATGACTCTTTATGGGTATAATATATGTTTATTGGGGGAAGTCGTGGCCTAATGGTTAGAGATTCGGACTCGTAACCCAAAGGTTGCGGGTTCGAGTCTCGTACCGGCAGGGATTGTAGGTGGGGGGAGTGAATGTACAGCACTCTCTCCCACCTTCAATACCACGACTGAGGTGCCCTTGAGCAAGGCACCGAACCCCCAACTGCTCCCCGGGCGCCGCAGCATAAATGGCTGCCCACTGCTCCAGGTGTGTGTTCACGGTGTGTGTGTGTTCACTGCTGTGTGTGTGCACTTTGGATGGGTAAATGCAGAGCACTAATTCCGAGTATGGGTCACCATACTTGGCCAAGTTAATCAAAACAAGCATTGCATGTTGGCATGACAAAATGTTATGAAAAGTTAGGCCTAATTTAAATCTTGTAGGACAGACATGTGGATGGATGAATGGATGGGTAAAAAGATAGTAAGATGGATGGATGGATAGATGCGTGGATGATGAATGGAGTGATGGATAGACTGATGGATGGATGAAAAGATAGATAAATGGACTGAAGGATAGAATGATGGATGGATAAATAATAAATAAGTAAATAAATAATATAAATAAATGGATGGATGATAGATAAAAAGATGAATGGATGGATGTATAGAATAAAAAGATAAATAGATGGATGATAGATTAAAAGATCGATAAGCAGAGGGAGGTGTGGATGGACTGATGGATAGATAAATAGATTAATGGAGAGACTGATGGATGGATGCATGGATAAAAATGTAGTTAAACAGATTAAAGGATGATGGATAGATTAAAAGATAGATGAATGGATGGCTAGATAAATGGATTGATGGATAGATTGAAGAATGGATAAAAAGATAGATAAATGGATTGAAAGATAGATAAAAAGAGATAGATGATGATAGATTTAAAGAATAGATACATGGACGGATAGATAAAATGGATGGATAGATGAACAAATGGATAGATAAAAGAGATTAACAAATAGATAGATAAAGAGATAAACGGATGGATGAATTGATAGATAGATAGATAGATAGATAGATAAGAAAGTAACCTACAGTCTCTCTCTGTCTCTTCAGGTACGAGTCAGAGTTCTCAGTCAGTGCAGTCTGGTTTGGTTCGTCAGTCTCCTGCTCGTGCGTCTGTCGTCAGTCAGTCGTCCTCGTATCGTCACAGCAGCAGCCGCCAGTCTTCACTCCGCACGTCTGTGACGGGTCTGGAGCCCTGCAGACGTTCTTCCAGCAGCCAGCTCTCTCTCCGCACGCTGCCCACCTCCCTCCAACTCCGGCTGGGCACCAACACCTCGGCCGCCAACCCCGACCCACCCGGCCCCTCCAGCTCCCTCTCAGCCCACTCCATTCCGCCCTGCAAACGACACGCCCACACGCTCGCCAGCCTGCTGGGAAACGAAGCCTTAGGGCTGGGGACGGACATCCATCCTCACCCCCACTATCATCTTCACTACATCCACCATCATCATCACAATCCCTCGCTCTCCTGTCTGAGAAGGGACGACATCTCCTACAGGGTGCAGGTGAGTGTCTGGCTTTCTTGTAATTTGATCACAGATCACAGATCTTAATTGTGTGAAATTTGTTATAATAATGAAGCATATGCATTTGTGTAGATTGTGGATGTGAGTCAGGTGTTGGATGTAATGAATCATCCCAAGAGGAAGGAGCTGGTGTGGCCAGATGAGAGCATGAGACTGAGATCTGGACGCAACTTTTGGAGGGACTGGAGTCCCTTAGAAGGCATGGAGGGTCACGTGAGTGCATCACATTTAACTGAAACTTTTAAAAATCATTTTTGTAATTGAAATGAAGTAAAATTATTGTAATTGAAATAAAATATAAATATCAAATGAAAACCCTAAAAAAGATCAAATTAGAAATGTTGTCTTGGCATCTAACTAAAATAAGTTAATTTAAGTTGGAGTACTACAATTACTAGGACAGAATTAAAAATAAATTAAAGCTAAATACAAATATGTTTTTTTTTTAAAGAAACCTAAAACAGCACAGTCCCCATAGACAAATGTAATATATGTACATATATACATTATACATCATGCTGATATAGAGCCGGTGTGATAGTGCTCATATAGCAACCATATATCAGTAATACATTTTATATTATATATGCTTTATTAAAACAACATACATACAAAAATCAGTAGTTTATATGTTTTTGTAATAAATGTTTTAAATGCATTTATTACAAAATTATACTATTAACAGATTTTTGTTGTTTTAATAAAGCTGCATATATAAATAAAACATATATTACCGTCATATTATGTATCATATTACATTTCTGTATGGGTCACACACATTTCGCTGCATCATCCAATGATTAAGGATGTCATTAGATGTCTCTGTAGTTTTCCTGAGCCCATTTTAGTTGGAGATTCACGGGACAGATGATTTTCAAAATGCATGATAATTGAATAATCTGGTTCTATTTTGATCATTATTTGTTGGTTGAGTCAGATGAAACCTATCAAAGAACATATTCACAGTCCAGGTCATATTTCACATCGAAATAAAAAGAAAAATAGGAAAATATATATATTTTTTTTTTTTATAGGACTTTTTATATATTTTTAAATGACAGTTGAGAATTTTTCACCCAAATTCACCCTATATCCTAATTTCCCACTGCTTACTCTCTCTCCATAGGTGGTTCATCGTTGGGTGCCTTGCAGTCGTGATCCGGTTAGTCGGTCTCACATTGATAAGACCATCCTGCTGGTCCAGGTGGATGATAAATTGGTTCCCATTATAGAGACGGGAGTGATTGAACTGGGGGCAGAAGTGTGAGGATGCACTCGTCTAATGTCAGGCCAGAGGAAGAATGAGGCCACACTCACTTCCAGCTGCTGATCAGGGCGCAGGAAGCCAGGGAATCGTGCAAATGGAGAACATACACACTCACACATGCTGCAAGAAGCACATTTGCTCAAATCTGGACAGAAAGCTGCCTTGCTCTGTGGTCCTCAGATATGCTGCATGAGAGATCAGCTCCTGTAAACTCTTCTCTCTTTCTCTCTCCTTTACGAGTAGCTGCAGTTTCGTTCTGTTTTTTAGGTTCTATGCATCTCATCAGCTGTCTGTAAACACATGCAAACTCACAGGGAACACTACAACCGAGCTTGATGTACACGCAGAGAAGAGTTTTTTATTACAGCTATAATTACGTTTTATTTTGTATTTCTGCCCAATTAAGTCAGGTGCACAGTGCTGCCCTGGACATGCAGTGAATCATGTGACAGACTGTGTTTTACTAGCTGCCAAGACAGATGATCACGGTGAGGATGATGATGATGATAAAAAGGAAGCAGGTGCTTCTGATACAGAGCATCCTTACTCTTCATCCTCGTTCATTTTGTTGAGGATCCATTTGATAACAGAGAGGTGTTATGAGAAACTTTAACTTGCACTATGATTTGTTTTGTTTTTGATTTGCAGCTGTGCACTACTTTCTAAGATCAGACATTATTTATTCCTTCACGGTTTGAATCGCCATGGTTACCGATGCCTTTGGAATGCAAAATGCGAAATCATTGACACATTCGTTTCTGCCGTTTTGACAGTTTTTCTTTAGCTTGAGGACAGAAGTGGTTTTTTAACCACATGTAGTTATGTATGAATATATAAATGTGTCTGTAAAAAGATTTGGCTTTGAATATTTATTACTGTATTTACATTTTGTTATATTGTTTTTCATTTACAGGACAAATAAAGACAATGCATAAATATTATTTATTCCTGCTCCCGAGTGACTGATGGTGTTCTTTTATGAGAAGGATGAAATGAAGTGCATCTAGGGCATGAACTCATATTCATGTGATTTGGGGACGAAGGTTGCTGCCCTTTCAAATAGCCATGAGACGACACAAACCACTGACTGGTTAACAAGGAAATGTTTTTTATACTGATACTGAAGTGCTGTTATTCACTGCTTTGGCTGTGATCACTGGCATAATATGTATATCGGTACAATGTGTTTAAGATAAAGAAAAGCACTTAATAAATAAAACTGATATCTTAAAATAGAAGAAAAAAATAAAGAGCTTTTGGGAAAATGTTACTTTTCACAATGTGCTAAACCTGTTTAACTGGTGTCCTGTTATACTTAGGTACTCTCATATTGACAGAAGGAAACATCTGAATTTCCTCAGTAATGTCATAATATAACAAACTATAGACAAGTCCTGATTGTGGAGTAGCGTTTTCTTCTTGATATTTACTTTTTCTTTATTGGATATTGGTAACGTACATTATATATAACTAAGAAGCATTATTAAAAATACTTTAAAAAAAACAGCAGCATTAGTTAATAGTTACAGATGTCATGAAGCTTTGATAAATGTTTATATATTTGACAAAGTGTGTTTGTTGGGTGACAAACTTTGTGATTGTTATGGACGAATGACTTGAATTGAGACGTGTATGAGGTGATTTGGCAGTGTTTGTGCATTTTGGATGTGTAGTTTACTGCTGTGCCAAGCTGAAATATGGCAAGGAGAACTGAGTTTAGAATTTAGAAAAAGTGAAAGTATTAGGAGATTGTAATGAAAGTTATTAGAAATTCATGTTCAAAATATTAGTCAGGTTTTGTCAGCTTTTCTTGAGCAAAACATGCTAGGTGATGTATTTTTTTTTTCCTTATGATCTTAAAATAGCTTAGACTATCATGGAGTCTCTGATAATAGGAATCAGAGATCATATATGAAAATCTATTACAATTTTGAGGGGACTTTTTGAGGAAAAAGCTTGCATGTGGCTATCAACAGACATGTACACCTGCTGAAGAGTTTACAGTGAATTCTAATATTAGAGGGACTTTAATACTTGTGTAATAAATTCATGCTAAGATAAAACGCCCATTTGGTGTCAAAGGTTTCACAGCGATCTGTGAGTTCCAGAACCGAGAGGTTCTTGTCATCCAAGTTAAATATAGCATTATTAACGATAATTTCGAGTTTTACAGGTGTAATTCATAATTAAATTATTGTCTCAAAAAAAAAAAAGCTTGCCTAAAAATAGAGAATCAGTATTAGTAAATTACGTAGAAGGAATTTACCAGTATTAGCTACAGTTCATTATAGACTGATCTGATGGCTGCTTACAGATATATCAACACATGCTCTGTTCCTGATTTATATTACACCTGTAAAAACAACACAGGTGAGACCAGCCCAGCTATAAAATTATGCGTGGGTGCAGCAGTCATATGACAAACGGATGACCTGATCATGTGCTCGATTATATTCTGCCCAGATAGTAAAAAAAATGAAGGGCAGGTATGTATGATGCTCAGCAAGAAATGATTAATAAACTTTTTCTAACCAATTATTAAATCCCCTAAAAGAGCTGAGGCATTTCCCCTGAACTTCATAACGGTTAGACTTTCCTTGTCAAGTGGCAGACCACTTCAATGCATTACTCTACTTCTATACTTCTTCTGAAAAGCATCCTCTCTTTTTGTTTTGTTTTCAGTCAACTCGTTGCACATGACCGACTAGTCAGGCGGTCCGTTGAGGCTCCGCCCAGGGGTGAAAGGTGATTGGATGCTGCACTGAGGCGTGTTGAGCTGATTGGATGGCGCATGGAGTCCGTTTGCGCTGATTGGCTGCTACACATGCGTCCTCGTAGCGCTGTTTGTAATAAAGCGTCTCGTAGCTCCAGTACAGGCAGCTCGGGCAGCGCGTACAGAACGGGTAAGGGCAAAGAAACTACTTATATTTTTATTTTATAATAATCCTGCTTATTTTGTTTGGTTGTGGTTTGTATAATTAATCAACTCCAGGGTAAATACGGTCTTCAGCTAACAGGAGTACAGTTTAAATCCACCTATGGCTTGTTGTTTTTATTTTAATCTGATGTCATTTTATGTTTATAGGATGATTACGAGACCACTTACAAAAATATACCATAGTAAACAGTCATTTTTAAAGTTTTTAACAGTAATTTATTACCACAATTAAATGTAGCATTTGATACCATTATCATCTAAAATTAGACATTTAACAAAATTATATATTTTTTCTGTTTGAAGATTTATTATGGTTTTATAGTAGTAATAATAGCTATATGAATTAACTACGGTTGATTTTTGTAAATATGAAATGTTCAAAGTAATGGGAAGCTTTTGATAAAATAACTCAAAAGAACACCTATATTCTGCCTTACTGTAAACAGACTTTATATAGGACGTGATAAAGTCATCACTGCTTTATTTGCATAACTATAAAGGCTTAGTGAAAAAAATTATAAAAAAGTGTAATGGGTATTTGCAATATACCCATATTATAATATACATGTATATTATATTATTAGCAAAATGAAAGTCATCAAATTAAGTACTTTTTGTAGTATGACAAATACAAGTTTACAATCTTTAAACTTCTAATAGCATGCATGGTGTTTTTCTCTGATTATTTTGCATCTCTGTTCCCGGTAGATTGTGAAGATGAGCCCACAGACAGTAGCAGTTTTAGGTCTTGCCCTGAGCCTGGGGCTGGTAGTGAGTGGTTTTCCTGCCGAGCAGCCAGAAAATGGGAAGCACTGGGTCGTCATTGTGGCTGGTTCAAATGGCTGGTACAATTACAGACACCAGGTGAGTGTGGAACTGATCTTTGAGGTGGAGAAAGTACATGGGTTTTTTCCAAACTGTTAGTCAGTTGTCATATCTGAAGTATTTATTCTGTTGTATTCATGTTTGTGTAAAGGCCGACGTGTGCCATGCGTACCAGATTGTCCATAAGAACGGAATTCCCGATGAGCAGATTGTGGTGATGATGTATGACGATCTTGCTCAGAGCTCTGAGTGAGTATGACTTCTATTATTTAAACAAACTAGTATAGTGTAGTGGATCTCAACCTTTTTGACTCCAAGGCCCTCAGTTTGTCAAAAACAATATTCAAAGCTTAAATGTATCTCTTGTACTTCTGTTTTAATTCAAATCAATATGTTATGTCAGTTTGATCTTGTACATCTTCATTTTAGTGTTCTTTTAGCATGTTAAGATTTTAATTTTAAGTATATTAACAATTTACAGTAAATAATTTTAAGATTTATTGGACCCCCCTTGGAAGTTTGCTGACCATGGGCTTTGGTTGAGAACCACTGGTATAGTGAGATTTGGTCTGGTAAACCAAGAGATATTGGATCAAGCCTAGTAAGAAATGATTCATGACCTGGAGTAACTTTGCTCAAATGCAATAGTGATAGAAGAACAAGCACTTTACCCTCATTGCCTCAGACTGTAGAAAATGTGCTGTTAGCTGTTTCAGATATTTAAAAAGCAATATCTGGGTAATTTCTCACGATCATCAATATGAGCACTTCCCCTAAATCGTTTTGGTAAAGTGTTGACTTCCAAAAGCAGACATAAAAAATTATTTAGCTCCACCACATGCATGGACGCGCACACACGCATACAGAAACAAAGCTTTGAGTCAGTTCCTTTGCAGATGTCACACGTATCTAATTTAACCACCAAGACTTAGTCTGCCAACAGGAAAAATGCATGAATTGTAACTTGTCAGGTTTTTCTCTCATGGTCGTGATAGTGGCTGGCATTTACGATGTTTGTGTCATGAATGTATATGGAGTGTATCCTTCTTTTTAGGGTCCATAAACCTAATGGAGCCTATGTCTATATAAGAGTATAATATTAATAAAATCTATATTTGGACCATATATATATATATATATATATATATATATATATATATATACACATACACACACACACACACATACACA